ACAAAAAGGTTGTCACCAGTTGTTAGGAACAATGACAACAAGCCCTGAAATGATAAAGGGCTTAATTCTGTTATTATTTGTTGTTAACATGTTTACTTTTTAAATCTTGATCCTTGAATATTAGAAAAATCCTGAAATTCCTGGAGGTTTTGAATAGTTCATAACAAACATTAACATTTTATGAAGCTCAATAAGCATGGAAAGTGACTCTAAAAATTTAATAAGTTATTATGTAATTATTAGGCCAAAACTTTACAGTCTATGACCCTACAAGACCAACCCAAAAATTCACTTCTTAGGAAAAATAGAGCTTAACCTGAGCTTTACCGAAATTTTTTTCCTTTAATCAGCTTTTCAATTTTATGTTATTTTCTTTTTGTGTTGGTTTGTGTGTGTGTGTAGTTTAAAAAATTGACTTGCACAAATTTTCTGATGTAGTGTAGATATTATATTATTAATTTGTCATCTCTTCCACAATAAAAACAAGAAATTCTATTGAGGACTCAGAAAATCCAAGTTAGATACATTGTGACATCTCATAATTCAAAACAGCAAAATTTTCGGTTCTTTCTTACTAAATGTGCACATTGTCATATCTCCTATAGCCTGCAGTACCAGATTATCAGCACCAAACATTTTATTTTAAAAAACCAAGAAATGTTCGGGAAACTAAAGCTAGGCGTACAGTTTTAAACAAACACGTAAAAGTGCCATTTTTCACCTCATTAAGCCTGGGAGGAACAGCAGAGGGTGTGTGAGTGTGTGTGTGTGTGTCTGTGTGTGTGTGTGTGTGTGTGTGTGTTACTCTGTGTGTGCGTACCTTTTTCAAGGTGAAGGACCATTTCTTTCCCTGTGGGACCTTTTCTCCATCTCCAAAGACACTGAGGATTTATCCATCTATGTCTAAGTTAAAATGACAGGACCCGTTTTCTTTGATTTATTAGTAAACAACTAAATAGCAACATTAAGCTTTTAGGAAAAGATTAACAACACTGCACTGTGGTACCTGTCATGGTAATTTAGGTAAAAGCTGTTAAAAATGTTCATTCTTTATCCTGGAACATTTGGAAGTAGCTGCCTAATGGACGAGGAGATGCTAGGGGACACCTTGGAACCGGGGCAGCGCGGTGAGGGGCGGGGAGGACGCCGTCGCGAAGCAGCAGGTTTTAAACCGCCTGCACCATGAACGCAAGGCATCGTCTTCCTCCGTGTCACTTACAATTCCTATTTGTTCAAAAATCTTGAAGCTGGGTGACGTGTGACTCTGAGCTTACCTGATGAACCTAAAGGTCGCTCATCTAATTTTGCAAAATGCCCTTAATTTTTGTAGATCTTCTTCCTCAGTACTAAAGCGATGACATGTGGGAAAACAGCGTACTTCTGTCCAACTGTGAGGACAGTGGTCATTCCTGTCACGAAGGTGGTCAATAAAATCATTGTTCTGAGCTACACAGGAAGTGACCCAAAGAGGGAGGAGAACCTAGATCCTGAGTTATGCACTCTCACCAAGTCACCATGCATCCTCCAGAGGGGAAATGTCCAGGCTTCTGCCTTCTTGATTTTGTTTTTAAATTCTTAAAAATCCATGCGAGGCAGTAAACTTGTTCATTCTGGGTATGTCTGAGTTATTATAAAACTTTTCTTGTCCCAGAAACCAAATTTCAGAACTTTTATTTAGCGGCACTCTCATGAAAAGCCAGGTAAGGTCCATCCCCAGTTCCTGGCTCCTCGGATGACAGCGTGGAACACTTTGGTCCCTGAAACACTCCCGTTGCTACTGCTTCCATGACATAAGCACCGATGATCAAAGAGGACGACACACATTTGTCTGGTTTATTTGTTCACATCACAGGCTACTAGGGACCCTTCATATTTCCAAATTGCATTTGTTTTTCTGGCTGCACACATAAAATTGTTTCATATCCTAACTTACACCAGTACCGATCTATATTTTTAGTTATCAGTTGGTGGCCTTTGTACTAAAAAGATAGACCCCGGAGAGCAGACAGGATCAAAGGACAGCGTCTGAAAAGGAGAAGTCACACGCTGTGTGTTGTAGAACACCAAGAAGGATGTTCTGGTTTTTTAACTAAATTTGGAAATTTAATCTGATTATAAGATAAGATAGAGTAAAACTCCAGAAGACCATGTCCCACTGGGACTGAGTAACCCTACATGACATCCGTGAGGTCAACTGATGAACCCTCATGCCTGCTGCAGGGGAAGCAGGTGTGGGCAGTGTGGGTAAAGGGTGGTGCTGGGCTCCAGCAGGGCAGCAGAGCCAGAGGCAGGACCTGGAGATGTGCGTGGAACAAACCCCAGGGGCGAGCCAGGGCCGTGGTGGGCCGAACAGCAAGAATGCACGATTCTGAGAGGGAGGCCTGGCTTCCACGATCTCCAAAAAGACTACGTGATCTCTGTCCACAGTTGATTGTCTTAAACTTCGCTTAAGTGTGATTTCCCCTTGAGATGTTATTGGATTAAGTTCAGTAGGCCATCCACATTAGCATGTAATTTTTGTCATTTTAAAACATTTTAAAGCTGTCATTTTATCGTGCCATTATAATAAGTCACATTGCATATTATTTAAGGTACTTAGTAAATGTTTGAAATCAAAGACTCTCACTGAAATGTGTACATAGTGAAGAAATACGTGGTGCCTGTTTTGTCACTTTCTGTGACTGCGTCAGCTGCCTAAGGAAATGGACCTAAGAGAGAATGCTGACTTTGGCCCCCATCACATAGGCCCAGCCCTCGGCCAGCACCCCACGGCCTTGGAGCCTGCAGGGGCAGCCAGGGTGGCAGGCGTGCCCAGTACGGCTCTCCTTCCTGGCCAGGACGTGACAGAGCGTGAGGCACGGTGAGGGCAGGACCATTGTCTCCCCTTCAAGGAACACTCAGAGTCCAGAAGGTGCCCAGCAGCCCCCCGTTGCAAAGGCAACGCTGCTCCCTGGAGCCCCAAGTAGACACCACGAGGTCACAGGGGCCTCTGGGGATCACTTGTCCTGACCACAGCGTCCTCTCTAAAAATATTGGGGACTCGGGATTCCTCAGGGCCAACATGCAGCAGAGGAAGGAAGGAAAAGGTAAATAAGACAAACAGAAAGACACAGACAGACAGGAAGAAAGAAACATGCACGAGACAGACAGACAGAGGAAAAGGTTACCAGGGTGGAGAGACAGAAAGAGCCACGAGCACCGACCCCTGCAGAGGGTGGAAAGCTCTCAGGGCCCCGGGAAGCCTCGTGACTTGGCCGCTTTGCACCCCGCCTGCTCACCTCTCCCGCACACCCATTCGTCCTGTGCCCCAGGAATGAGCTACAGGCTGGTTTTCATTGCAAAGAAGACAGGAAGAAACCGGAGGACAGCGAGTGATTTATAACAAGCGTTAATGACTTCCTTAAGTGGTAGCACTACAGTGTATAACCTGCTTCCACAACACACAGCAAGCACCAGCCCCAGCTCTGCAGAGTGGCTTATTTATTCTCAAGCCTCGCTCTGGCTAGTACCTGCGATACAGAGCCGGAGACACAGGACCGCAGACATCTGCAAACAGAGCCCAGTGGATCGGAAGGACATTCAGCACCTTGATTTAGAAGAGGGGGACAAAGGCACGCCTCAGAGCAGGGCATCGAGGAGCAATGCCACCGGAAACATCTGACGGCCTCTGCCTTCTCTGTCTCTGTTTCTGGTCATTAGCTGCCACCAGTTCAGGCCCGAGGCCCGCTGTCCCGTCCAGAACGATCCTCTGTGCCGACACCCTGCTCTCCACTTCCCCATTTTTCTTATGTGAGTAAACAAGATGGAATTTATTTTTCTGATGCTTAGAGGCTTGAAAGCATTCTTAAGGTTTATATAGAGACTGTTTTTAAAACACAGGCCCAAGATGGTTCACGATTCTCTTCATCTCCAGCAGCGGGTGCGTACATGGAGCTCATCTCGGTCAGTTTCAGCTTCACCTACTGAAAGATTGCTCCACTGAGCCTCCTGACACGTGTCTCCGGGACAGCTGCTCTTCAGCTGCTGTGTCCCCCACTTCCTCCGTGTGGCCCGAGACATGATGGCCTCCAGGTGTCTCTTTGGCATTTATGGCACCTTACTTATTCTGTGTCACAATCACTCAAGTGGATGCTCTGATGGACGGGACCTAGGATCCTCCCAAGAACACAGTCAGTCTGCCATCCCCGGGATGTCCCAAGTGACCTCCAGCCACCAACCAGCCCCGGAACCCCAGCCACACCCCCGGTCTCCACACCTTCACTCCGCCTGGCCCTCTAGAAAGAGAGGATCAGTGCCCACATTCTCTGACACCTGGACTCCAAAGAAGGAGCTGGTCTGGGACAGCGTGTGGCTGCCCAGCCCTGGAGCACTGCAGCCCCCTGGGCGGCCTAGCAGTGCAGGTGACCACTTCCTGTCCCTCCCGTCCTCTCCGAGTACACTAGGGTGAGGAGGACCTGTCCTTCTCAGAGCTCCAGCGAAGCCTGCAAAGCGCCTGCAGGTGAGAAGCGAAGCCCGAGGCCAAACGTGGCTCCCCGTCACCCCTGCTCATGTTGCAGAAGGGAAGGGCCTCACAGGGCAGACAGCGGGTGCCAGCAGCTCCCTCCCCAGGACCTCACACGCCCTTCCATGCACCCCAAGAGCTGGTGCATCCTCCCTGTGAGGGAGGGGCGCCTCTGCCAGCTGGGTCCTCTGTCCCAGGGAGTAGAATAGTGCTTCCTGCTGAACTCGCTGATCTTTCCAGAACCACTGAGTCTTTCTACTGATAATCCTTCTCCTTTATATCACTTACAGTGACGACTCAGCCTTCATTTATTCCCGCAAGTTACAGGGAAATTATACATTCGAGCCCGTCTACCTACGGTTCATCCATGGAATAATTATTGTTATTAGGGATTAGTACCCAAGTAAGTGCCTTATCTAATTAACAGAAGCTAAAAAGAAGCCAACTGAGAAAAAAAGAAGAAATTAGTATGTAACAGGCAAATAATGAATGCTGTGTATCAGATCAATTTGCCTTCGTGTGTGGGTTTAATACTTCATACTGCTATGGTTTATTAGTGTCATACTTCAAAATGAAGTGCAAACACAAAGGAAAGGCAGCACGGGTGAGTCACCCAGGTCTCTGCAGGTGCCAGGCGGTGCTGTCGTAGAACAAGGACCCACCACTTCCTCAGGTGGCAAGGGAAGTACGCAGCCACTTCCCGGGAAGGCGCAGGGCTGGGAGGTCGGGTTGCTGGCTTTGCGGACAACGTCGCTAATCCTGGCAAAAGCACCCATGAAGAGCCAAGAGGCTATCAAAATATCCCTACATGTTTCATATTTGTGAACAAAATATTGCTCTTCTCTGACTAAGCAGACAGGCAGCAAGCTTGCGAGTTATATTTAAAGACCGTTTTCAGCTCTTCTGTAACTCGGTGTTTTTATGCAGCCTGATAAGTAATTATGGTCACAAATTGTCTTGAATTCTTATGTGCAGCTGGTCACAGGGTTGAGGTGAGACGTGAACTCTCCCTCACTTGTGCTGTGACACACATTTCCTCCTCGAGAACGGCTCTTCCCCTGGAGAAACGGCCTTCTGCTGCCCCTCCACACTGATCTGTGGAATACAAAAACATGCTTTGTGAATCTCGGGGAACTTCTAAGGAAATAATGAAATCAAGACAAAACTTTGGTTTTAAAAAATCAACAAAAACTTACAACTGCTTGAAAGTCCCATAACTCATGTACATTTTTATTAGAATGTAACAAATGGCTTTTAATAGGTGGGACATTATGTTAACCACCGACTGGCTACCACCTGACCTTCGGGGACAAATATTTTATGCTATCTGCACTTATAATAGAGTTGTAGGCCTGAGACCACAGGAAGCACAACTCCAGCCACAGGTCCAGATCAAACTGTGTGACGCTAAAATCGATCTGCCTGTCTTTGGAATGCCGAGGGGTGAAACTTGAAGTGACTCCAGAGCTTGGGCAGAGAGCAGAGGGTGAGGGGGGCGGGTGTGCTGGGCTGGGGCTCCCATGGCAGGACGCAAGCGCCGCTGCTTTCTCCCTGGCTGGTTTTGTGCTCAGTGGGCACCACAGTCAGACTCCCGGGGACAGTAAGGATCGGATGGGTCAGCACTTACCAGAGTGCCCAGCACACAGCCAACACTATGCAAGTCTCACTAACAGTGACCCTGACAGGAGGACAGAAGACAAGGAGAATGAGCCACCTGCGTCTGGAAGGGAAATGTTTCCACGTGACTCCTTCACCCCTCTTTTCTCCTAAGGCCTCAGCTGTGTTAAGTGGTGGCGATGGAGATCATGCAAAACCCGCCCTGTGACTGAATTCCATCTCTTCCCACATAAACTGCCTGCTCCTGCAGACAGCTGGGGACGGTGGTCAGATATTCATAGGCTGGATCTCTCGCTGCTGTCACAGCACAGCACAGACGGCTGCATAACCCGGCTGCTGGGAAGGCTGGGGAGGAGGGTCACAAATCCCGGGAGAGCCCAGGAAACTCAGTGAAACCCCGTCTCAATAAAAACTAAAGGACTGAGGGTTTCGCTCAGTGCAAGGTCCTGGTTCAATCCCCAGTCTGAAAAATAGAAAAAAATAAGACTAAGAAGAAAGGGTGTCTAAATTATTCTAGGGCTCTCTGCCCTGCCCCAAAACTAAGCTTCCAGGCAGAGAGGCAAGGATTTTACCTGTGATTTTTTCCCTCCGGCCCGACCTGAGCTCCCTTCTTCTCCCTCAGCCTCTCTAAGGACAGAAGGGCTGGAACGCAGCCCTTTCCTGCACCAGGGACCCCTCGGGCCATACTCCTAGCCCAGCCACTCCTCCTCTGAGGCTGGCCAGCCCTGCCCCAGGGGAAAAACATTAGAACAGGAGTAGAAATCATAGATCCCCAGGTTAAAAGTGTGTGTTGGTTTGCTGTTCTGAACTGTAATGTCCCTTTAACGCCTGGATTTATTTTTTCTAAAAGCAGACTCAAAACGCAGGGAGAAATCGACGCAAATTTCTTCATCATTACTTTTGTCCCTACACAGAATTTTACAGTTTTCAAAGAAGAAAATTCATTATAGCCTGATGGCAATCCTGGAACATTGGGAAAATACAGATTGTCTCATTCTTACAAATCAAGAAACCAAAGTTTGGAGGCCCAATAATAGAAAGGCCCAATGATAGAAAAAAGGTAGAGGACTCTGAGCTCAGCGTGGTGATCCCAGCACCCAGCTTGTGCGTGGTGTGACAGCAGGTCTATCCTGCCACCCGCCCGAAATGCACAGAGGCCACCAACTCCAGGGGCAGGAGGATGATCCCTGGTGGCCACTGCGACACTTTGGCCCCAAAAATCTAAGCGCGTTGTACTTCCTCCTGGCCAAGTGTCTAAAAGGAAATAGTCCTTAAAGCAAGCAGCTTATGTCCTGTGCGCCCCCTTGCTGAGGCTCAGACGTGCGATACCTCCCAGCAAGCCCCACACCGCTTCTTTCTTTCTTTCTTTCTTTTTTTTTTTTTTTTGTCTTTTCGTTTTTATCGGTACCAGGGATCAAACTCACGACTGCACACTTGCAAGGAAGGCGCTTATGCCGCTGAGCTAAATCTCCAGCCCTCCACACTGCTTATTTCTAAGTCAGTTCCATGACTGTATCTTGCATCCTAACCTGCATCTCCAGAATGACTGCTGAAATCTGCTCACAAAAGGTTATGAAGGGAGAGAAAAGAAACAGTCGCCCTCGTTCCCTGAGAAGTCCTGTGGCCAGGGGCTCCTCAGCTCGGCTGTGCTCCACATCTCTCCATGCCTGGCTCTGTTCTCCGCTCAGGGCTCCCACCGAAAAGGCAGGTGTCGAATTTTAAAACTGTGTTCCGTTGTAGGGAAATGCATCAGCACTGTTTCTGATTTCAGTTAGTTATATCTTCTCTAATTCGAACCTTCCATTTTTCACTGAAAGTATTAAAGGTGCTAGTTGTCAGTTAAAGGAACATTCAGCCTTCTTGACTTCTCCAAAGATGCTTGTAAATCCCAGCTTGCTGGAAATACACAGGTGATGCTTATGACACCCTATTATCCCTTCACAAGGAAATGCATCGTACTCTACCGGTCATGTGAAAATTTAGACATCTCAGTCTTGTTCTAAAAATCTTCCACATAGACAAATGTGCTTTAGATTAAATCCTTCCTCAGGTGAAAACGTAAAGAAGGGTCCCGAGGGTGATGTGTCTGCAGGAAAGAAGGAAGGAGACCCCGCCCCAGGTGCACAGAGCAGGAGGTGGGGCGCAGTGGGCCCCCTGCGGGGCCAAGAGGGAAGCGTCCTGCTGGTGTGCCACCTCACTCCAGGGATCAGAGAGACCACCCCAAAACAACCTCGGCTATGCGGATGGAAGGAAGGACATCCTGGTTTGGACCTGACAGACACCCAGGTATTTGCAAGCCCGGGTTTTACTTCAAGGCTGTAGGAGGAGTCTCCAGGCTTCAGAGGGAGGGTGAGACGCAGCAGAAGCTGGCAGGCCACGTGGGGAAGAGAGGGCGCCAAGTTCTGGCCTGCAGCTGTCAGGCCGCATCTGGAGACATGGGTGGCCTCAGAGTCACTCTTACCCTCCGCCGAGACCAGTGTCAGCAGCCCCGGCAGGAGCTTTCAGGGAGCTAAGTTCATGGAAGGAGCGGTCCCATGATTTGGAGAGTTTTCACACCCATATCTCATACTCTGAGTAACCTTTTTGAAGACAACAATACACACTGTGTTAATTATTGCTAGCCTTCTGTTATTTTGTTTTGAAGTTTTATTTTATTTGTTCCCCATAAAAATTTTTAAAAGAGCATTATTGTTACTCCAAATCCCCGGATTTATTTTCCCGTGCCTGAGCTCAGGGGATTGGACACGCATGGCTGGAAACTACTGCATTCATAAAGCGACCTTTTTCGTTTTACCGTCATTTGAGGATAGGCAAGCGCTTTGCATCCATTTGTAAAGACAGCCACTTTCGCCTCAGCCTCTGAGAAGATGCTGCCCACCTCTTCCCGCGAGCACAGCTGTCCCCCACAGGCTGTGTGTGATCCTGAGTGGACGCCGTGCCCGTGCATGTCAAAGCCGGTAGATTCCCAGCAGCACACACAAACTGACCCGTCCACGGTCTGATTTTTCAATGCTGCCCAACAACTACAGGCTTGTTTCAGTGTTACTGAACAACTTGGGTCAAAGAAACCATTTGTAAATACTATGAAGTACTCTGTGCGGGTTTCCAGAACAAACTCAGCCTGCACGGGGGAGGACTGGGTGTGTGACACACAACTCCCTGCTTCCCCTGAAGTCCGCCGCTCTGTCCTCCGCTGCTGTCCGTCAGACATTGTCCCATGGTCCGGAAGGGTGAGGCCATGGAAGCTGCTCCTACGAATCACTGTAGATTTTAAATAACTCGCTCCAAAGGCTGTTTGCACGTGAGCAGGAGGTCAGCCTAGTTGCGATCGTGTTTTATTCGTGTGTATATTTCAGGGTAATCAGTAGTTGAACCCAGTGTATTCAGGTTACCTCTGTTAAACCCTTCTCCTACCTTAATTTACCTCCCAAGCACTGAGAAGCTGCATTTCTTGCAGTCCCTAGTTCCCATTCAGTATCCCTTTTGCTCTGAAAATCTAGCAGTAGCTCTGATTTTTCAGGTTTGAGCAAATATCACAGTAGTAGCTCTATGTATTCTATTTATCAAGAGCTGTTTGTTTTACCTCAGTTTTTCCACTTCAGCTGTAAACAATGCTATTTTTTAAGACAAATGACCTATTGCAGATGCATAAAGTATATGACAAAATCCACTAGCCTCCGTGAAAGCACAGCCAAGCACATCTGTTTGGAAATACCAGCCACCCCACCCCTTCGGCACGAGCTGCTCTCCTCTCCAGTGTCCTAGAGCTGCGTGGTGGGCGAAAGCTGCTGTGTCCAACTCCACAGTTCAGAAAAGGCGGTGCCGAGTGACATCCAGAAGGGCTGCAAGCTGCCGCCCCCACCCAAGTGAGCCGTCCCCTCATAGGCCAATCGATCTTTCCAGAGCATCCTTCCTTGTGTTCATTTCTTTGTCACAAAGCAAATTAGCACTTTTGGTATCGTCTCTTGTTCTCCTACCTGAAATAGCTTCTAAAAGCTTTTTTTGGGGGGGAGAGAGGATGACAATTTTGTGTTACTAACAGAAGAGGAAAAACGACTGGTGGAGATTTAGAACACATCCACGCGGAAATCGGCCTTAGACACGTTTCAGTGATTCAGTGGCAGGTCGTGGGAAAGCGCCTAGGAAAATACAATTTGTAAAATGCAGTGTGAGTCTAAGGAAGAGAACAAGAGTACTGATCTTAAGTGATCTTGAGCAAATCACTTCAGCAAAATATGTGAGCTTATTTAAGAAGTGAATAATGTGAGTATCCAAAAGATAACCAAAGATAAATAAGGAGAAATATCATCCTGTGAGTGCATCTTGTTAAACCTGACTCCTTCAGTTTGTATCTGTGTGTCCACTGCCCACAGTGGCCTCAGAGCAGAGAAAAAAGATAGAGATTTACTGCTAAAATACCTGTGCTGTAGTGCTGCTGCAGAAATTTATCATAACACGGTGTTACACAGCTCCAAGAC